TTTACAAGCTTCAAAACAACTGCTCCTCAGACTTCCCGGGCACTTGGGACAGGGAAGAACGATTGTGCGGAGGGTAGTTGTCGGGCTAATAATTGCCCATTTATACCATTACAATAAACAAACAATCAACAATCGAAATCATACATCTCGATCCAATTCCAAGGTCTGTGCAATCTGCGCCATTCGTTCATGATCCGGTCTTGAATTGATTTGAAAGTAGCCATCCAGTGCAGCTCGCTGAGCCGAGTCTAGATTCGTACGTTTCCTTCTCTTCCTCAACGGTATACTTGTTGCCGTTGTTAAGATGGCAGTGTTATTCGATGATAACGCATTGCTGTTGGCCGCCAACAGACCCGATGTGGCACTGTTCAGATGACACGTTCCCAATCCACCACTATAGGATTTGGTTGTTGTTGTTGCTGTTCCATTCGGCGACAGTGAACCACTGTCGACTAGACCCGATGAGGATGTGAGCAATGATCCGGATGATGTGAGCACTGTCGCATTCGTGGCAGATAACGCATTCATCTGAAATAACTAGCTCTTTTAATAAACGAACAATCAACAACAGTTTGAGCGTTCTGGTCGATGCTTAAAAGTGACCTGATTTCCGGATAAATCCGGATTTTTCTGCGCCTCCAATAAATCAGAGGCGGTCGCACCATTAGCGATGGCATTTTCAGCATCGGCCAACCACTCCTTCAACAGTGGTCTCAACTTGCACATATTCTTGAACGACAGATTCAACGCTTCAAATCTCGAGATGGTCGTTTGTGAAAAATCCGTTCCGTAACGTCTACCCAACGCCATTCCAACATCACCTTGAGTGAACCCTCAAAGAACAGTTCATTATCTAATACAATTATAGTTACCTTACTACTGAATGTCACGCACAAACATATCGCACACACCCATAATTATCAATGCACTCTCATTATTGCCATCATTATTATTACCATCACTATTGCTATCTTATCAAATCATAAACTCTTCACAGCCAATCATGGAATTATTTTCAAATATCAGTTGCAATGTTAATGATTCGAAACAATACCGAATTTAATGCGTTGTTTCTTGAAGGTTTGTGCGAAATTCTCCAATTCCTCAAGATCTATCCTATCTTCGCGTGTCATCTTTGGTGTATCATTTCCTGCTGCTGCCTAAAATTCACACTTTTTATCAAACTTCAATTTAAAAGATTTTTCAGGGGAACTACTTCTGAAGACCTGTTAATTGAATGAATAAAATAAAACACCTCCTCTTCAGCAGCCAATAACTTCTGTGATATTGTTAGTCGACTATCCCGCAATAAAAATGATTCCCGACTTTCAGCGTTTACATTCTGTGACGAACCATTCACCTAAACAACAAATATAAACGCAAGTAGATGTGATTGATCACAAATTTAGCAACGTTTGATCAAAACTGACATCACACTCTTCACCTAGTCGAACAATCCAATTCTTTGCTTCAGAAGGCATCAAACTCAGTCTCAACGAATGACAAACAAGCTTATTACATCGGACGTGAAGAAGCTGCTTAGCCTTGGCTATGTGCAAATTGCAACAGATCATATGCAACAATTCGATACAAGTAACAACTCCCCCANAAAAGTATTATTCACGTCAGTTGTATCATCGAAAAAGACGAACGAAGTGCACACGTGCAAAATGAGAAAGCGTTCAACCCAAACACAAAACACGACCTCAGGTAAAACAGCCGGAAGTGGTATACCGATCGAAACACGATGATCAGAATTTGAAGAATCGATTTGCAATGACGATGGATTATTATTCACCTTTTGATTGATACTTGCAAGAGTGTTCATTGGATCCGTACCACTCATTATCACCGATGGCAATTGTATCATATTGTTAGCATTACTTATACTATTGCTATACTTTTTATTATTATCACTGGTATTATTTAATAATGACAACGATGTAGACAGATGAGGCTGTTTTGAAGAACATTTCGAGACTGATGAAGTTTGCTTGTGATGGTGTGACTGTTGTGACTGTTGTTGTTTTAAGATGGCATCGCACACATTCAGTTGGTCTAGTTCGCTACCACTGAGATTATTGGCACTGCCTGAAATTAGGTTCAGATTCGATTCAACGACAATGATAATCGTGAAAATAATAGTAACATTAATGAATGACAAACCCACTAAACCACAGAAAGCGCTATTCGCAGCAGCCATCGTGGCTGCTTCTATAAGTGTCAACTGCATTTTTTGAGGGTCCATATTCAAATCTAAAACAACAATAATCAACAACAACAACAACAAATCATAATCTGATGTGAAAAATCGCGATGAAATATCGCAAACAAACTGTTTTAAACCTCCTCAATTATCATCAACAATTCTCGATCCATTCGATAATCACAAAGATAAGTGACTATCTGATAAGATTACGAATAAGTTGACAATAATCCAACCTGCTAAATTCGCTCCCAGGAACGGCAGTATTCCTTGTGAGCCAGCTGACGCTGATAAAAGATCTGACATATTCAACGTTCCAAACGCACTCATGTCTACTACACCACCTGAATTGAACAGTCACCTTAGATGTGATCTTATCATGTCAGTGATAATTTCATATTGAAGTCAAATGTATGACAGATAGCATAGTGTTGAGGTGTAAAAGGAACTGATGTCAAAAGACAAGAAAACTCACTTGCAGAAGCAAGAATGAGTTGATTTAAGGCAGCATTGAGGGTCGCAGGTGAGGGTGTAGTTAAAAGATCTTGAATATTCGCTGGTAAATTATTCGCACATAACCCATTCAATAAGGCTGCCGTTGTTGCAGCAGAAGAATCATGCGTGGATATCATAGCGTATTTATTGCTACTATTATTATCATTAACAATACCTTTCGATGAGGCATGTCTCCTGAAACAACTTAATCTACATTTAAGATGATACGTATTTGTCGCAAAAACCTTCAGAA